TTTAAACTACATCTGACATATGTCATCCACGCGTGAAATCCAGATTTCCTTCAATCTTCTTATCAGTGGTCAAGTTTATTCCTGACTCCTTGCTCCCACTGCACAGTATGACGCATAATCCAGTCCACCACAATTAAGACAGACGGTCTCATCTTACTCCTGTATTCCCTTCGGACGCCTCGCTGAGTTTTCCGTTGTGGGTCACTTGACAGAGGGCATAGTCATATAGCCAGCCAGCTGTTGAATGAAGTGAAAAAGACTTGAGGCACTGCACGCCCCCATAGTGTTGATGTAACTTTCAAATTACTTCTCTGTCTACGCTGTCTCTAGAATGCTTTTTTTTTTAAATCGATAAAATTCAGCGCTTTTGTTCATCCCTTTTACACTCCGAGTAAAAATGAAATAGGCCTTCAAATGATGAGTTTTGAGCTTTCAGTAACCATGATGTTGTTGTTGTAATTCAATTTTTACGGCGTATGAGGATGTTGGCCTCACTATCCCACCTTTGCTCTTTCTCCAGGCTTACTGTTGTTTAGTCGTTAACTAAGCGTGGGTGGCACAGCGGTTAGGACTCTCGCCGACCCTCCACATTGTGCGGGGTTCGATTCCCTGCCCGACACACACCTGATATCAATGAGTCGGCCTGCAAAATATGGGCTACCTGATATTACATGCTAAAAATTCCATACATGTACCAAAAATACGGTGTGAAATCAAGCTATAATCAAAAAACAAAGAATGCATCTGCCGGGAGTCGAACTATGCATCTCTCTATCGTGCGCGTGTGTGTGGTTGGCAAACATATTCTACTACTATCAAACCATCGAGATGCACTATGCACTAAACAAGAATGAAATTAATTAATTCCCGCTTGTCAGTCAATTACAGCATGACCTTCATGTGGAAAAATATCTAGGCACCAAAATGAAGGTCAGGTGGGAGAAAGCACAATTTAGGTGAAATATATATATATATTTACATATAATCCAGGCTTTCATAAGGTATACATGGACAGCGTGTCTGTTTGAGTGTCTCTCTGTGTATCTATGTGTGTGTGCGTGTGTGTGGATAGGATCATTAAAGCAGGAAAAGTAGTGAGGAGTGAAAGGGGAGAACAGTAAACAGTTCAATGTAAATTGTGTGGAAAGTATACATAAATAAGTAAACGAATATAATAAAATTATTTCAGGTAATCAAGGTTAAGAGAATATGTATACAGATATGCATAAAGAGTGAAAGTTCAGTGTATTAAGGGAAGAAACACAAAATTTATTTATGTTTTTTTACCAAAATCCAAAATGCTATCGCTTTATTCTTTAGCTTAAAGAATTTTCAATCGGATAGATTTTCGTGTTAGTGGGGCAAGAGACTAACTTACTATAAAAGGCACGGCCGTTTTCACTTACCAGCCGAAGAACTCATAAACATCGCCTCGGCCGTAGTAATCCCGGCAAAGATTGAAGGTTGTATGTGAGACTAGCCAGCTCCTCACTGTGTGACAATCAAACATTACAACCCCTTACTGAGACACAATCTGAAGCTTTTCAACTTGAGAAGCAAAGGAAAGAAAACAGCAGTTTTGTAGAGTCATGTTAGTGTAGGCCCATTTGAATTCAGTGTGGTGATGGTATAAAGATTCCTACAGTATCACTGTTTTTATTATTATTATTTTTCTGCTTCCTGAGAGGAGTACAGTAAGTAAGCAACGCATCTCTATGGCATTCGCTTCTCTGTCATCCCTTTTAGTTGTCTCTATGACTGTCTAGAATGTCTACAGTGCGTCGGTGGCATAGCGGTAGAATCCCTGCCAACGCCGTATGTGGCTCGGGGTTCTCTCTCCAGCCGACTCATTATTTTACCTCGCTAAGCTTGTAATAATAACTGGTAGGGAAGGCAGGCTGGGTATGAGGCTAGCAGTCTCAACCTGTTAAAATACAAAAAAAAAACACCAATGCTAGTGAAACTTCAAGTTTCTAGCTTGAAGTAGCCCTATGCTCCACTGGGAGCATAAAGAAATGAAATTTGAAAAAAAGTAATCCCAGAAAACAACCAACCATGAACTATAGGCCCAGAAAATAAGCCGAAGACAGTAGAGATGCATAGGAGTCTGTTCATCAGTGACATCGCAAGCCAGGCATAGGGGTGGAACATGAGTTGGGCGCTGGAGGGTGACATGGAAGAGATCATATGAGGAAGAAAAGGAAATTCGTGGGCCGTCGTGAAATCAGATAAAAGAGACTGGAGACAACAGTGTAAAAGTGGTAACATCAGGCCTATTTACAATGCGAATTACTGACAAATGAGAATATATATGTTCTATTTTCAGTTAGAATTATACAAACTAAGTGAATAACTGAAGGTTTGACAAGTAATTTCTCTCTCAGGGTTCATTTAGTCGCTAACGAACAACAGTGAGTTAGAGTATCACTGAAAATCAAACAGCTTTGCATAGGTGTTTTTTCCTTGTCTGAGAGTTTGCAGTATTGTTGACATAGATTGTGAGGTGATTCTACTGACGATCCTATCTGTCTATGTGTCTGTTTTCTACATAGAACTTTGCACCGATGTGCACCAGTTCAAGTCGCCACACTCCCACCTTGTACCACACAAACCAACAGAAGAAAGTAGAAGAAATGCATAATAGAGACAGTAAATAGAAGTGTGAGAAAAAGGAATAGAAGTAACGCAGAACAAAACAGTTTCATTGGAAATCATAAGTCACTAGGAGTGGATGCATCTGCGCCAGCCAGCCATTGACAACGATTTTGAGCAATAGCACCAATTGCCTCTGACCATCATTAGTTTTTACCGTCTCAAGGACCTCACACAGTCAGGAACTCCACACATTCCTGCACGGCTGGCTGGCTTAAACTAACTGTTGGGGATTTCATTGACTGATGAAACGATGTTTTGGTTTGACCACCGCTAGCTGTTTTCCAGTCTGACCCTATGTTAGCTAACATTTCCCATTGTCGAGGAAAGCGATGAGTAAGCATACGTAACACATCTCCTAACCATCTCAGTCGATGTAATTTCACAGCCTCGTCTATCGATTTCCCCTCCCACCTGGCTAGCACTTTACCGATGCGTAACCTCAATATTGCTCACCTTTTTATGCCACTTCACACGGAAGACAGAGCGCAGGCACCTATGATCGAAGACAGCTAATGTTTTCGTGTCTTCCACTCTCAATAGCCAGGTCTCACGGCCATATTGGAGGACCAAGTAGACTCCTGAGCAGTACACACGCCCTTTGGTTGATAGCCAGCCAGAGTTCACGTCTACACCAGAGATGGCGTAAAGTGACATATGCGAAACTAGCCCTCTGTATCCGTACTGAGATTTCGTCAGAGATCAACCCTTTGGCACTGGCTGATGGTACTTCCCAAATAAGTGAAGAAGTCAATGTGCTCCACTAACCACTTCACTCCCTATTACTGAACTACGAGTCAATGTAGTCCAGTCCAGTCCTGCAACATCATCTTACATTTGACAAAGGGAGCGAATCGCATACCAAACATTCGTAGATTGCAGCTCAGGGTGTTTAGAAGACTCCGAATTTTGTCAGAGTCCTCGCCTAGAAGGGCTATATTATCCGCATATTCTAAGTCAACCAGACTATTATTCCCTGATGGTACCAACTCAATCCCTGAGTCTCGGAAGTCAGCAGTTAGGGTTAAGTCCACTAGTACAATATCTATGATGAAGTTGAAGAGAAATGGGGATAATGGGCATCCCTCTCTGACGGACACCACTAATCGTCACCAGTTCAGATGACAACTCGCCGTAAGCCCTCACCTGGCTGACTGCATGAGTTCAAGTAGAGTGAGTGTCTTGATCAGTGCAAGGTATTTTCTCGTCATTCCCAACACGGCCAAGCATCAACAGAGAACCTCCCGATCGGTAGAATCGAATATCGCCTTTGGGTCAAGAAATATAATGATTGTTGGACACCGGTAAGAATGGTTATGTTCCAGAATCTGTCGAAGGGTGATGATATGATCGATACACCCTCTTCCTGGTCTGAGGCCTGCCTGGCTCTCCCGTGTCTGTGCTTCCCGAGTACCATTTGGTCTACGCATTATTATCGAACCTAAGACTTTAGATAGTATATTAGTCAAGCTAATCCCTGTGTGATTATCACAGGAAGACTTGTCTCCCTTCTTGTATATCGGGATAATCAGTGACTTACACCAACCCGTCAGGACTTCCTCTAATTCCCAGACGCTGGCTAGTACCTCAGTTAATGCAGACAATAAACTGTCTCCACCGTACTTAAATACCTCTGGAGTCATTCCATCAGGTCCCGCTGTTTTGCCTTGTTTCAGACTAGTGACAGCTTTAGTAATCTCAGTTAGTGACGGAGGACCTGTGTCTATATCCCATTAAGGGAGGTGTTGGCAGGATGATCGTAGCTGTAGGCCAATCAAACTGCTTCACATGGTGTTCTTTCCAGCGCTCCAGTAGTCTATCCTGAAAGCTAATTATGGTGCAATTCTTCTCAAGGATTGTTTCACTTATCATTTGTCTTTTACCATTTGTTTCCCTGATAAGCCTAAATAGATGTCTGGTGTTACCAATCGCCGATGCCTTTTCCATCTTCTTAGCTTTTGTCGCCCACCACTGTCCACGGTCGTTGCGAAGACTTCTTGTTAGTTTTCGTTTGAGTACCTTTCGCTCCTCATCATAACCGGAGCTCGCCGGACCATACAGTCAATGAGTTAGAGACTAACAACCTATGAATTCTAACCGTTTTCGTTCTTTCATTGCCAACGAATAGCCGTAGATGAGATTCCGCTTCACACATGACACAATAGACGAGTACTGCCTAGTTTTACAATGATCTTCTAGTCCCATGCCAGTCCGTGATGATATCTACTCTGAAATGCATTAAGATCGCCTCAGAAACCTGAAACGTTTCTTCATTATTTTTTAAATGAATATATATGTATATATTTATACAGGTTTTTCTCTCTTTATTTATTTTTTCTTCTTTACAGAAAGACTGTCCTTCAGGCCTACTAAATCGTTCTACATTTTTAAGTATGTATACACAATTCTTCCCAGATGGTAAAGCAAGATTATTCTATGAACACTTGTTTCGAACTTTCGATCAAGATGCTAGTGGAAGTATTGATTTCAATGAATTTTTAACCGTAAGTCTTTTTTAATAAAACTTATTATTATCATCATCATCTTTGTATTGAGTGCTTGCTTTGACAAGTCATTTTTTCGATAGTTTTGACTAATAAATAGAATTTAATTGATGGATGGTGACTAGCAATGGGATCCAGGATAATGCGCGTTCCTTCCTATTTGGGACTCGTCAACCAGCTGGACGTATTTACATTCCACAGTGAGTGATGATTTTCTCACCACCGAGGCTCGAACCCAGTGCCCCGATAGTTTCAAACGCCAAAGTGTTATCCAGTAGACCACTTGGGTCACGGTAGCTGCAAGAAGCCTATATTTCAGCCTGAGACCGAGCTCTTCGGTCTAATCAATCGACATGAAATCTAGAAAAATTTAATTCACTAACGGAAGCAGAACTACCAGTGAACATGAACGCCCCAACGAGAACAGAAGTCCTGAATGCCATAAAGATGCTATTGCTGGAAAAGCAGCAGGACCAGATGGAATCCCACGAGAAGCATTGATAATGGATCCAGAGACAACAGCGGACTTGATGGCACCATTACTGGGGATGGTGTGGACAGAGGGAAAGGTACCCGAGGATTGGAAGAAAGGACACTTATTCAAACTACCAAAGAAAGGAGACTTAGTCCAATGAAAAAACTGGCGCGGAATTATGCTCCTGTCCATCCCAAGCAAAATACTAAGCCGCATCATCCTGGAGAGAATCAAACAACGCAGAACTGGATGAAAACCTTCGAGCGGAACAAGCTGGATTCAGGAGAAACAAGTTATGTATTGATCAAATCGCCACACTATGGATCATTATTGAACAAAGCTTGGAATGGCAGTCACCTCTCTATCTCAACTTCATCGACTTTGAAAAGGCCTTCAACAGACAGCGTCGATTGAGAGGTGATTTGGTAACTACCTCGCTACTAAGAGATGCCGCCAACGATTATACATCTCATCCGACAGTTATACGACAGTGCTGCATGACAAGTAATCCACAACGGGAAACTTACGGAAGCCTTCGAAGTGAGGATGGGAGTGAGGCAAGGCTGTCTACTATCTCCAATGATTTTCCTGATTTCAGTAGATTGCATAATGCGACAGACAGCTAGCGGGAAATGAGGAAACAGGCATAAAATGGACTCACACAAAAATCTTGGAGGATCTGGACTTCGCTGATGATGATATATGTCTGATTTCCCACAAACTGGAAGATATGCGAGTGAAAAGCAACAAGTTGGCGGTAGAAGAAGCATCAAAGACAGGACTACAGGTGAGCATAGAGAAAACAGGAGTGATGAAGATTCCTGACCAGCAGCAACACCACCACCAACAACAACAGACAACAATCAGCATGAATGGGAGGAACCTGAAAAGAACAACTTTATTTACCTACCTGGGAAGCATACTTTCAACTACAGGCGGAACTGACGAGGATATCAAAGCCAGAATCGGAAAATCATGACAAGCTTTCATTACTGTCAAGTCTGTGTGGAGGTCAACAGCACTACTCAGCATGAGAATGAAAATAAGATCCGGATTTTCAACTCCAATGTAAAGTCAGTTAGTGGTACTCTATACGGATCAGAGACTTGCACTGCGCGTCATAAAGAACACCTCAAACAAACTACAGACCTTCATCAACAGCTGTCTTGCCTCAATACTCAAGATCAGATGGCCAGTCAGAAAAGATCAGCAACAGGGATCTCTGACAATGGGCGAACCAACACAGCAGGAACCGATTTTGCAACAAATAGGCAGGAAGAAATGGAGATGGATTTGCTATACTCTGAGGAAACAAACCATCAAGTGACATCACTAGACAAGCCATCGCTTGAGTGGAACCCGAAAGGGAAGCGGCAGGTTGGTCGTCCAAGGGTGACTTGGAGGAGGTGATGTGAAGAGAAGATGAAATCATGTGGGCAGACTTGTAGCCAGGTGAAAACTCTAGCAGAGAACCGAATGCAATGGAGACGTTCGGCTGAAGCCCTATGTTCCTCCAGGAACTAATGGAAATAATAATAATAATAAATAATGTGGCCCGTTGCACAAGAGGTGGCTGTTGTGGCCAAAGGTGAGCCTAGTCGATAAAGCTTTGGCTGACTTTTGAAACTATGGCACTGGGTTTGAGCCTCGGTGGTGGGAACATCATCACCCAATGTGGAATGGAGGCACCTCCAGATGACGAGTCCCAAATAGGATGAAACGCTATGACTTATAGGGTTCACCAAGTTGAATAATGTGAAGACAAACACTCACCGTTGGCATCAGTTGACGGTGGTGGTATATATATATCACTGATTGCTATATGTTAGAATAGTCTGGAACTCAGAAGAAACGGGCATTCAGTAGTACTCTTTACTGGTTCATCCAATAGTTCCCTTGACCGAGCCTATATATAGTCAGTCAATCAAATTTTTGTGCAAACTAACAATGGGAAATCGCTTTTCTTAACCGAAGAAATATGCTAACTTTAAAATTCTTAGAAGAATAGCAGGCATAAGTGTTTTTGCTAAACAGCTGACAGCCAACATCTTTTAGTTAGTCTGTCGGTCAGTCAATCATTCGATCAGTCTGTCAGTTAGTCAGTCAGTCAGTCAATCAATTCAGTAATCCGCTTCAACACACATATACTCTATTGAAAAATTGTATGAATTCATAGAAAAAAATGCTGGGAATTTCTGTTCGAAATAACTTGTTAAAACTGATGGAAGGTTAGGTTAAAATTCCTTAGAAAAACTTGATACAAAATGAAAATAATAATAATAATAGTAACAACAAATAGTTCAAGATGGAAGCATTATTAAGGTCAACGATGAAAACAGCTTCAGGTTATATATATATATATATATATATATATATATATGGAATGGTAATCAAACCTCTACCTCAACTTTATAGACATTGAGAAGGCCTTCGACAGAGAGCATTGACTGCGAAGTAATTTGGAAATTATTCGAGTACTACGGCATACCCCAAATATTCATCAACCTTATTCAACAGGTGTACGACAACGGCACATGTCAAGTTATCCACAACAGAAAACTCAGCGAGGCGTTTAGAGTAAACACAGGAGTCAGACAAGGCTGCTTACTATCACCAATGATATTCCTAACTGTGGTGGACTGGATTATGCGTCAGACAGTGAGTGGGAAACGAGAAGCCAGGGATATCCTAGACCGACATAAACAATCTAGAGGACCTGGATTTCGCCCGTGGATGATTTATGTTTGATATCACACACACAAAATCGAAGACTTACAAGCGAAAACCGACAAACTGGTCGAAGAAGCAGCTGGCGAAGACAGAACTCCAAGTGAACATAGACAAGACGGAGGTTGTGAAAATAACCAACCAACAACAACAAGAACAACAACAACTACAACAACAACATCCAGCGCTAATCAGCCACCATCAACGGGAAGGATTTGAAAGAGGTTACTTCATTAACTCACTTATCTAGGGAGGGAGCATTGTCTCAACTACAGGCAGTCGGAACGGATGAGGATGTCAAATCGACGAGAATCAGGAAGGCGATAAACAAATTCATCATCATGAAAACAATCTGGAAATATTCGTCACTCAGTCAGCATCAACAACAAAATTCGGTCGGATTTTTAATACAAACACGTCAAGTCAGTCAGTTCTTCTAAATGGGGATCAGAAAGTTGGCGGGCGGGTCACACAGAATATTTCCAACGGCCTGTTGCAGCAACTGTCTTCGCCGGCTCTATACTGAAGATTAGATGGCTGGGTCGAAAGGAATCACCAACAAGAGACTATGGCTGGGAACAAACAAAACAAAAACCAATCGCCAACCAACAAATATGCAGGAGAAATTGGAGATGGATTGGACACTCACTCGCTGAGGAGACCGCTGGGTGACATCGCGCGCGCGTCAGGCCATCGCTCAAGTGGAAGCTGAAAGGGAAGCGGAGGCGAATGGGACGTCGGTGCAAGGGTGACATGGAGGCGATTGTGTGAAGAGGAGTTGAAAGAGTATGGACTAACTAACATGACTGCAGGTGAAAAGTATAGTAGGAGGAAGACAGAAGCAAGTGGAGACGTGCAGTTGGAGTATAAGTATAAAACTTGGGCACTGTGGTAGAGTATAACTCCATTATGGATAAGATTTTATTTTGATAAATTACACACAGTGTTGTACAGTTATATTAACTGTACAACACTGTGTGTAATTTATCAAAATAAAATCTTATCCATAATGGAATGCAGTTAGAGCCCTATGTTCCACTAAGAACAGAAGGGAACAATAATATTATATATATATATATATATATATATATATATATATATATATATATATATATATATGTGAGTAATTATTCAATACACTTAAATATTAATCAAAACTTCTGACTAAAAACTGAATATTCAAGTATTGGTTCGTAGGGATTTGACTGATTGGTTACAGGATTTCATCATGAACTGACATCAGTCAGAGAACCATTGGAAAACCTTCAGGGAGTACTGGACAGCCAGTTGTTTCGTCAACTTAGTTTTGCACTCTTCATCAGTCCGCATCCACACTGCTGGCTTCGAACCCAGGACCTTCTGGTTACGAGGCTAGCGAGCTCATAGACCATTAAGCCAATAATTCCAATTTCTGCCAGTTCACGACACTGGCCCATATTTTCTGTATATATCTGTCCTCATGCCCAACCTGTTGTACCCTGCTGGCCATGACTTCCCACGAGAACGCCAGGTAACTAACTACCTGCCTGAATACGGCCAGTCTCTAGTAAGCATCTCATTGATATTCAAGTATTGGTTTGTATGGACTAAATAGTTAAGTAAAAAGACAACTGATATTTTTATGTATTCATGAATAATCCTCCCATCCAGATATTCATGATGAAAATGAACACGATCTCCTCCATGCCACCCTTGCACCGATGACCCACTCGCCACCTCCACTCGAATGATGGCCTGCATTTAGCGCGATGTTATTTGACGGTCTCCTCAATGTATGCCCGACCCATCTCCATTTACA